GAAGACTATTTCTAACCAAGCAAATGGAAAGGCCAGAATCTTCTGACAGAGATAAACTTCTTTTCAGGGAATTTTTCACTATCTTTGATGGACACGATCAGGAAATGTGACTTAAGTTGAGAGGAACCTCGGGGGTGCCTGGATTGCTCAGTCCGTTTAGTGTCCAACTCTTGGTTTTGGCTCAGGTCATGACCTGAGGGTTGTGAGATCCAGCCCCGTGTTGGGCTCCACATGGAGTCTGCTTGAGATTCTCTCCCTTTCCCTCTCTCTCCTCCTCTCCTTCTCTGCCCCTCTCCCTGCTCATGCGCTCTCTCCCTCTCAATAAATAAATAAAATCTTAAAAAAAAAAAAAGTTGAGAGGAACCTCAGCCTCAGACAGTGGAGAAAAATATGGGCTGAAATAATCCTGGTTCCAAAAATTAGAGCAAACTCTTCTCTTCTGCTTACAAAATAAATCTAGGCTGCCTTGAGGGGGGAAAAAAAAGACATGTATTTGTTTCAATCCAAAGTAAATACAAGAACAAAATCTGACAAAGCTACAGTTTTTAAATAGCTACTGAGAAAATATTAACTAAAATACTAGCAAATAAAATTCAGAAGCATTTTTTAAAAATTAAACAGTAGACTAAATAGGATCATATCAGGAATGCAAGAATAGTTCAACATCAGGGAATTTATTGTAATAACTAACCATATTAACAAATCAAAAGAGAAAAGGCATATTATCATCACTTTTGAGTGATTTATTGATTGATTCATTCAGCCAACAAATTTTCATTATGTATCTATTGTGTACCAGGTGCTGAAGATATGGCAGTGAGCACAAACAGAAAAAGTCTTTGCTGGTAACAGCTTACATTTTAGTCAAGGTAGATATACAATAAACAACTAAGCAAATAAATAAATAACATCTGTAATTACATGCTATGATGAAAATAAAGCAAGTTAAGATGATGGTAAGAAGGATGCTATTTAATATAGGGTGATCAGGGAAGGCTCTCTGTTAAGATTACTTTTTAAAAAATATTTTATTTATTTATTTGACAGAATGAGGGAGAGCACAGCAGGGGGAGGGGTAGAGGGAGAGAGAGAAGCAGGCTCCCCACTGAGAAGGGAGCCCAATGCAGGGCTCAATCCCAGGACTCTGGGATCATGACCTAAGCCGAAGGCAGACGCTTAACCCACTGAGCCACCCAGGTGCCCCCCGGTTAAGATTACTTTTGAGCAAGACCCAAAGGAAGTGAATGGGCTAGCCAAGAGAATGTCTGGGGAAAGAGGGTTCTGGGTAGAGAAAAGAGCAAATACAAAGGCCCTGAAATGGGAAAGAGCCCATATTTTTAGGGATGCCAATATGGCAGGCATAGAGTAAACAAAATGGAGACTAGAAGAACATAAGGTTAGAGAGGCAGAAGGCAGAGAAGACAGATCATGTATGACCTGTAAGCCATGGTAAGAACTTTGGTTTTTATTCTGATTGAGACCTGTAATCACTAAAAGGTTTTGAATAGAAAAGTGGCATGATCCGACATCCATTATAAAAAGATTTCTTCTGACTACTAGGATGAAAATTTGCTCTAGGGTTAAAGGTAGGAAAGTAGGTGAGCAGATAGGAAAATGCTGCAAGAGTCTAAGTAAGGAATGGTAGTAGCAAGCCCCAGGATGGTGGTAAGTGAAGGTGGGGAAAAGTGGTTATACCCCAGATATGTTATGAAATCTATTATACTATGAAGCTGGCTTTTTTTTCTAATTAGGAATTCTTGGTATATATATTTTCTCTGTATCAGTTCAGTTTTCCAGAGACAAATCCTCCTATTTCCTCCCTGGAGATCACAACAGTCTGGCTGCAAGCTTTCTGGAGTTGGGTAGGGAAAAGAGCAGAATGTCCTGTTTAGGATACAGACTTCTATGTCTTCATATCATACCCTTGTTTTCTTTTTTTTTTTTAACATTTTATTTATTTATTTGGGAGAAAGAGAATGAGAGACAGAGAGCATGAGAGGGAAGAGGGTCAGAGGGAGAAGCAGACCCCCAGCTGAGCAGGGAGCCCGATGTGGGACTCGATCCCGGGACTCCAGGATCATGACCTGAGCCGAAGGCAGTCGCTTAACCAACTGAGCCACCCAGGCGCCCATACCCTTGTTTTCATACCCAGTCCTCAGAGCCTGATACCAAAGTCCAGAGCTTTCCTAATTCAGTTTTTCCAGAGAAGGTGACTTCCTTCTGCCTGGTGAGGGAAAGGAAACATTTGACTCCTTGGGGTGAGAAGGGGGGGTGAGTATCAGATAGAGCCCAGATTTATTGCACTTTGCTTTATTGTGCTTCGCAGATACTGTGTTTTTTACAAATCAAAGGTTTGTGGCAACCCTGTGTTGAGCCAAGTTATCGGCACCATTTTTCCAGTAGCATTTGGAAAAATTTCACTTCACCTCTCTGTGTCACATTTTGGTAATTCTTGCAATATTTCAAACTTGTTCCTTATTATATTTGTTACGGTGATCAGTAATCAGTGATTATGACTCACTGAAAGCTCAGATGATGCTTAGCATTTTTTAGCAATCAAGTATTTTTAATTAAGGTATGTACATTGTTTTTTTAGACATAATGCTATTGTACACTTACAGTATAGGATACACATAACTTTTACAGGCACTGGTTAAGAAAGTATTGGGATACTTACTTAATGCAGCAGTCTGGAACCAAACCCACAATATCTCTGAGGTGTGCCTGCATATATTCTTCACCCCTCCAATTCCTGTGGTTTTCTCAGGTTCCATGGGACAAATCTGTTTGCTTGTTACTGGTGTCTTCTTCCTCTGCAGTTCCTAGGTTTTACCATTCTCTGGCTTCTTAAGTCATTTCATCATTTCCCCATCCACTTTTAGCCCTCGCGTACTATAACCTGGAGTTAAAAACGTCTCCTAATGTCATTGAATATGGAGTTCATGCTTATATCTCTTGTTATCCTCCTACAAATGCCTTTAAACATGTTAAATATGCTATGGGGCGCCTGGATGGCTCAGTCGGTTAAGCGGCCGACTCTTGATTTCAGCTCAGGTCATGAACTCGGGGTCTTGGGATCAAGCCCCACGACAAGCTCCACATTCAGTGAGGAGTCTGCTTGAGGATTCTCTCTCTCCCTCTCCTTCTGCCCCTCTCCCTGCTTGCTCTCTCTCTCTCTCAAATAAATAAATAAATCTTTAAAAAATAAATATATTAAATATGCCTAATATCACTCATAATAGGAAACTGCAAATTAACTAGTAAATATCATTCACAGATTTCCTTGCCACATAAGCCTTTCCATGAGTGGGTGGTCTAAGTGTCCTCAAGCCATGGCAGCTGGCTTCCTCCAGGGTGATGGAAGTGACAGAAGAGATAGAAAGCCCAAGACAGAAGCTGTAGTCTTTTTTTAAACAGCTTTATTTAGATATAATTCATATACCATATGATTGATCCATTCAAAGTATACAGTTGAATGGCTTTAGTATATTTACAGAGTTTTGCAGTTATTGCCACAATCAATGTTAAAACATTTTCATTACTTCTAAAAGAAACCCTGAACCAAGCTATCACACCCCAAGCTCCCCGCACCCCCACCGCTGCAGCTCTAGGCAACTCTCCATCTGTGTCTATAGATTTGCCTATTCTGGACATTACATACAAATAGAATCATACAATATCTGGTCTTTTGTAACTGGCTTCTTTCACTTAGTATGTTTTTAAGGTTCAACCATGTGGTAGCCTCTGTGAGTTTTTCATTTCTTTTCATTAGGTGCTCTCCTTTTTTCCCACTATCTTTTAGTGAAATTCCAACTTACTTCTATTTACGTATGTAAGTTTTTCTGTCTCTTACTTTTCTAGGTCCAAGAAAGACTTGGGCCTTTTTGGCTCAGGATCTGGGTTGGTACTTCCCAGTCTCAGAAAAAGTGCCTTAAAGAACTATCTGAGGTTCTAATTTAGCCTGTGGTCCCTCGGTTCTTAAAGTCTTTTATAACCTAATCTTATAATTGCCCCACCACTACTTCTACCACATTCTGTTGGTTATACAGAGTAACCCACATAGAACATGGGAGGAGAATATACAAGGGTGTGAACACCAGAAAGCAGGAATCACCGAGGCCCATCTTGGAGGCTGCCTATTACAGGGAGGACGTAGCAATCCATGTGAGAAGTAAAGACTTACCTCTAGATTTGCCCCATCTTATAGATCACCACTTAAAAAATAACAAAAGCAAACAACAACAACAACAGCAAAAAGCTCATGTACACAGCATAATACAAAGAAAAAGCTCTCACTTAGAGGGAGCTTTGGCAGGAAGTCAGTCTTACTTCAGCAGAACCTGATGTCCCTTGATCAATACAGAAAGTGAGTATCTGGCATCATGGGAATGAGGAAATGAAGCTTAACACTTGGTTTTAAAAGAAACCAATGGCTGACAGCAACTTGACTGAATACAGCGTTAGCTATATAAATAAGGTTGAAAAACACTCACCTGGCATAAATGTATTCACCCTGATGAATGATTATTTCCAATAATAGCTACTGTACCATAGGAAAGAAAGTAACTGCAGCTTTCTTATGGTTTGGTCATGAATATTCACTCAGTCATTTTGTTAGTCAACAAATATTAATGGTACAGTGGGGACTTTTGCACTCTATTAATATTCTGAGTTCCCCTTTGAGATATGACACTATATTTAACAATATAATAAAGAAACATAAGAAACATAGAACAAATACACAGTCCCTTCCTTCAAAAATCTTTTATTCAAAGGCAAGAAAAAAAATAGACAAATGACAAAACTGGTATTTGTTTCTAAAGACAATAAACACAAGGGGCTATAAAAGTTCTTCTTTAAAATATACATATATTGGGGCACCTGGGTGGCTCAGTCGTTAAGCGTCTGCCTTCGGCTCAGGTCATGATCCCACGGTCCTGGAATCGAGTCCCGCATCGGGCTCCCTGCTCGGCAGGAAGCCTGCTTCTCCCTCTCCCACTCCCCCTGCCTGTGTTCCTGCTCTCGCGGAGTCTCTGTCAAATAAATAAATAAAATCTTTAAAAATATATATATATATATACACATATATTGCTATTTGTCTTGAATTCTCTTTTTTCAACTCCATATGTTTTTAGTTATTGATGAAAATTGTTTATATACCAGATGGTTTTTTCAATTAAAAAAAAAAAAGCACATTTTAGGGCACAGTGTAGCAGCACCATCTGTTTGGACTTATTTCCCTGGCTGACATGTGTAGGTCAATTCAGTGGGTAACAGTAGTAAGATGATCATTTGGAGTTTTAAAATTCCTTTGAGAGATTAATTTGTGTTATATCATGTAAATGTAACCACATCAAAAGAAGGTAAGTTGGATCTCTTTGGTACAATTAAAATACAAAGAAATACACAAAGAGGAGAGCCTGGGTGGCTCAATGGTTAAGTGTCTGCCTTTGGCTCAGGTCATGATCCCAGGGTCTTGGGACCCAGCCCTGCACCGGGCTCCCTGCTCAGCAGGAAGCCTGCTTCTCCCTCTCCCACTCCCCCTTGCTTGTGTTCCTGCTCTAGCTATCTCTCTCTCTGCCAAATAAATAAATAAAATCTTTTTTAAAAAGAAATACACAAAGATATCTTTACTAACCTTGATTCTGTGGAAATATTCCAGATCAACAAATTGAAGAAAGGTTTTATTTAAAATAGTTTTGCAGATAGGTGTGAACTCAAGATCAGATTAATCTGTGATGGGCCAATATTCAAGAATGTAATTTCCATTTCTGTAGAGTATTAACAAGAAATTTTAGTTTGTGTATGCAAGGTCAACTTAAAAGCAACATGCAAACTACCCAGTTAGCAGCCTCCATGCCATCTCAGTTTCTATACCATTAACAGAAACTATCTCACAAATAAATGCTTTCTCTCAAATGAACTCCCAGGCACAGTAATGTAAGTGAGGCTCCAAGCTTTTAATATAGAAAGGAAGAGGAAGTTTAAAAAGCTTTAAGCAGGGGCGCCTGGGTGGCTCAGTCATTAAGCGTCTGCCTTCGGCTGGGGTCATGATCCCAGGGTCTTTGTATCGAGCCCCGTATCAAACCCCACATCGAGCTCCGTATCAAACCCCACATCGAGCTCCCTGCTCGGCGGGAAGCCCGCTTCTCCCTCTCCCACTCCCCCTGCTTGTGTTCCCTCTCTCACTGTGTCTCTCTCTGTCAATAAACAAATAAAATCTTAAAAAAATAAAAAAATTAAAAAATAAATAAAGAGCTTTAAGTAAAGATGACTCCTTCTTCCATCTGTAAAAAGCAGATATATAACATTTTACCCCCACTAGATTGGCGAAATTTACCTGTAATAATACCAAATATGGACAGTAAGTAGAATTCTTGTAAACTGTGAGAGAATTGAAAACTATTTGGTATTAAATACCTCACAAAGTTGAATATTTGTATACTCCCCAACACAACAATCCTACTCCTACGTGTACAACCAAGAGAAACACTTTGCATGTGTCACCAGGAGGCATAACAATTTTTATAGCAATGATGTTTATAATTTTTTAAAAGGCTGGAAACAACTATTTATCAACAGGAGAGTAAATTGCAATATATTCATACAATAGAATGATATGTGGTACTGAAAATCAACAATCATTACATACAACAACATGAATGAAACTGGGCAACACAGTGTTGGGTAAAAGGGGCAAATCCCAGAAAACTATATTTTGGATGATAGCATTTTTCTTTCTTTTTATTTATTTAAGTTAAATTAATTAACATAGAGTGTATTATTAGTTTCAGAGGTAGAGTTCAGTGATTCATCAGTCTTATAATACACCCTTAGTGCCATCCTTAGTGTCCATCACCCAGTTACGCCATCCTCAACCCCCCACCCCCAGCAACCCTCAGTTTGTTTCCTATGATTAAGAGTCTCTTATGGTTTGTCTCCCTCTCTGGTTTCATCTTGTTTTATTTTTCCCTCCCTTCCCC